ATATTATCTAAACTTTGGTTTTAAAATTCAACCAGTCGACCGAATTTTTTTTTTTTGCAAATCGAAAGAACATTTCTTGTACGCCGTGTACACCAAAAATTAGCTTTCTTAACACTTAATTGCATACCTGAACTAAAAATGCATACAAGTAATTTAAGGCGCCATAAAAAAGCAAAAATAACAGAACAAAATTCACCTACGACAATCGAGCTTCAGAAGGCAAACAGATCAATAAAAAATCGGAAAGTTTCGTTTGTAGTTTAACCTTATTTTCTTCCCGAAAATTACGTACATCACAAATTAAAACGGGCCGGAACTTATCCGAACTTCTCTAGGAAAGATCGAAGCTACTCAGTCTGCAAGCAGGGTAGTATAAATCATGTCAAGATAAAGCTAAATTTTCAACTTAAACGGATCTAAATAGGGAATGAATTTTCAAAAGAAAGGTCTTATGTGAGAGTTCAGTGAATCGTGTTTTTTATTTTTAGCTAAGTGTGAGCAGAGTAAAACGTTTTATATCCTGAAGTATTGAGATAATGAAACCGCCTATATGCATTGATTTCTTTTCTTTTGATCCACTTGTCCATGTCTTCAGATAGGTTCATCCTATTAGGGATAAAAATATTTTTTCTTTTTTCCTCACGCTAATGATATGTTTCATGTTCATTTACCGTGCTTAAATATTCTCACTGAAATTCTCCATACTTCTTTATTAAGCCAATTTAATGTGACGTCCCACATGTTTTGTCTTCAGCCTAAACGTTAACTTTGAAATTTACATAATGTACAAACTGAGTACTCACAACTGTTGTCTTTGCCAGATTAATTGTTGCTGCAGAATATTCAAGAGGCCATCATGGCTCTTGGTATATTGCCATGTTTATGCCCCACAGTACGTCCAGAGCGGTTTTCCTGTTGAGAAATTAAAACCAGTTAACCAAGAGAGTTATTCCCGAAATCAGAGTATTGAAATATTCAAATTAAGACAAATCACTGAGTTGTCCAGCTCAAGTAGCTTAAGACTTACACCCCTCGAAGGATATAAAAAAATGAGCTAAAAAACGAAGGCTCCAAAATCAGAAGTTTTGCTTTCTCGAACTATTAAAAGGTAGCTCGAATTTTTTTTAGCTTTTGTTTGTTTGAGAAGCCTAATAAAAAGGCTAACCTTAATTGTGTTATAAACTATGAAAAGTGCCGGAAAGTATAAAATCGACAACACCGAATGAATATCAAGCTTAACCTTAATTAGGTTTAAAATTAAACTTAGTGATAATAAGAAGTGAGTAGACTTACCTTTTTAAGTATGTTTCTTTGTTTGAACTTTCAACATGTCAAAAGAATCATGAAGAAAAATTTTCCAATGTTTAAACAGCAATAAACGGCCATTGCCAATTGCATGACAAGTGAAATTGAGAACAATTTTCTTTTTCAAGGTACGCGTCAGCCTTGAATCTTGGCCACCCGCGTCGCAGTGGCGGGAAATCGGATCTTGGAATCCAGTCCCCAAGGGCGCGATCCATTCAACCAAAATTTCCGGAATATTTCGGTCCAAAACTCAATGGATCGGTTTGGTCCAACCGGAAAAGTTTCGAAAAAACGGGTCCACCTTTTTAGGTGGACCAATTTTCCCGGTCGGACCGGTTGGAATTTTGGTTGAATGGATCGCACCCCAATACTCTGCATTAAACCGTCACGTACATGCAGGATTCATTTCTGTTATTAAGGACCATTAAGTAAAAATCATGTTGATTACTTCCTTATATACAGCAGCTTAAGGCCTGGAGCGTAACAGAAATTCATCCTTGGGCTTAAAATGACTCAATCAGAGGTGAGCGAGAAAAGGTTTCCTAGCTTTTTGCTAATGTAACTCTGGTCAAAAACACAAGGAAAACCGTGCCTTCTCTAGAAACCGATAAAGTTCTAACAAACTGAAAATGACTGTTATTATAAGCTTATAGTTTTTCCGAATGTTCGACCTCCCGATATTGATATATTTCTGTAGTCTTTTAGTTACTTAACTTTCCAGTGTTTTATTATAATATTATTACTATTTTGCCTGCCCTAATAATTTTCACAATCGCAAGTTTTGAAGAACAACATAATGGAATATAAAAATAAAATAATATGCCCGGCAGCCGGGAACGGTCTAAGCTGCATGGCAGTCAGAATGTTTTTTTGATTTTCTTCAAAATCTTTTTTTCTAAATATAATCGTTTGAAAGTATTATATCTTCGTTTAGAATTACCAAGGGATTAGGAAAACAGGAATGGCTTAGCAGTAGAGCGTTTGTGGTTTCTTGGGCATAGAGCCTGAGAGTCGACGCCGTTTCGACACTTAGAAACATTCGAGACTCACGAGTACGTTTTCGCACAGGCTAAATATCCGGCAGTTTGAAAGCCATCTGGAAAGTTAGAAAGCCTGTTAGTAAGCCAAAGGATGCATACTAGCCTCGATTAGTTTTCCAAAGCAATAACGAAAATATTAAGTGCTTTCATTATGAAACCTTAGAGTCAATGCACTGTGTGAATCAACTAACGTGTGGACAAAAAGGGTGCAAAGGCAAACGCAGTGCGAATTACGGCCCATAACAAACAGGAAAGGCGGTCCCTGATAACACCAAATTAAATATAGCCAGTTATAAAAAAAAACAACTAACGAGTCACGAACGATAAGGAATAACAAGACGAGCTAGTAACCAGACTAAAAGGGGCGTAAAAGACGTGAGAGCTCAAACAGAATAATAACCGTACGACTAACTTATAACAGAAATCGCGACGATAACTGTGATCCTCGGTTATCTCCTTCGCGATGTAAATGGCACTGAGATTGCGGACGCGAACTTAATTAGAATTGATCGTGATCACCACCTGGCAATCGCGATTACTGCACCACGATCGAGAGCAATATGGCACTCGACGATCGCCGATTACAACTTAACTAAATCGCACCGCGATCGCAATCACCGCTTCGCAGTAAGTACAATGCCCCTGCGATCGCGATTACCAAACCGGGATCGTAGTCCTGACATATAAATCACGGATTTGACTTTACTAAATCAAGCCGCGATAAGTACAATGTCGCTGCCATCGCGGATACTATTTTTCAAAATTGCACGACCCCATCAGCTGCTTAGCGTTTAATATCATCGAGCTAAAATAAAAACTGTCTGTCTTCGCGATCGCAATCATCTCCCTGCGATCACGATCATTCCGCTGAGATCGCTATAACTTCGCCACGATCGCTCTATCTTCACCATCCTGACCCTGAGATCGCGGATAATATTTTTCTGAATCGCGCCGCGATCGTAATCTTCTTCCTGCGATCACGATCATCGGGCTGAGATCGTTATAACTCCGCCGCGATCGCAATTTCATCGCCAGCATCGCAATCCTAACCTTGGGATCGCAGATACGACTTTTCAAAATTGCGCCGCGATCGCGATCATCTTCCCGCGATCACGATCATCACGTTGAGATCGCTATAACTTCGCCGCGATCGCTCTATCTTCCCCGCGATCGCGTTCACCACGCCGCGATAAGTACAATACCGCTGCGATCGCGATTTCATCGCCAGGATCGCAATCCTGACTCTGAGATCGCGGATAATATTTTTCTGAATCGCGCCGCGATCGTAATCTTCTTCCTGCGATCACGATCATCGTTCTGAGATCGTTATAACTTCGCCGCGATCTCGATTTCATCGCCAGCATCGCAATCCTGACCTTGGGATCGCAGATACGATTTTTCAAAATTGCGCCGCGATCGCGATCATCTTCCCGCAATCACGATCATCGCGTTGAGATCGCTATAACTTCGCCGCGATCGCGATCACTACGCCGCGATCGCGATCATCGCGTCGCTATTGCAAGCGCGATTTACTTCAATTGCATCGCGATCGCTGCTATCGCGCCGCGATCAAAATCATCGCGCCGCGATCAAAATCATCGCGCCGCGATCGCGATCACCGCGTCGCGATCGCGATCATCGCATCGCGATCGCGATCACCGCGCCGCGATCGCTATAACCTCGCCGCGATCGCGATCACCGCGTCGCTATCGCGGGCGCGATTAATCTAAATCGCGCCGCGATATGCACAATCGCGCCGCGATCGCTGCCATCGCTCCGCGATCGCGGTCATCGCGGCGCGATCGCGGCGCGATCGCTAATAAATTTTTACAAGGGAATTAGTTCTTAGTAAATTAAGATTCATAAATTAGTGCAGTGAGGATCTTTCCACTTTGAGTCACACATTTTAAGTAAAGCACTTTCAATGAGTGGAGTAAATAATGAAAACCGCCTGCAGTGTTCATGCAAGATATATTGCTTGAGACTTTCCCAGCAGCACCAGTGCACTTTATTAATAATTTATTAAGTAGTTATATTGAAGACCAACTGAGACATATTTTTCTGATAGGATTGAGTTTTTGCTTGGAATCTGTGAACAAGCAACAGCAGAATATGTTTTTCTTTGATTGAAATTCAGTGGTGGCGATTTCTCTGCATTCGCATCATAACTGCATCGATAACTGCACAACACACATTCGCACAGATGCAAAAATGTTAATTCTTCATGAGACCAAACTATAGCTCTTTACACAGAAATCTCATTTTGGTTTTGAAGTTAAAATGATGCCTATAGAAAATATACAGAAATTTAGATCAGCTGGTGTTTGGAATGTTTCTTTTTGTGCACAGTTTGCATGCCGGCTTTGTGACTAAAGTGGCCGAACCAAGGAACCACTGGCCAATCCAGGGGTCTTTAAACAGAGCATTCATTTTGTATAATGCAGGAATGTCGGTAAGGCTCAGAAGCTGTCAGTTTTAAGTTAGTAAAATATGTTACAGCAACTTAGAGGACAACGTTCAGCTCAGTGCTCCTCTCTTAGGATAAGAAATTACTCGTTTACATCTTTTTCATTGGACCAAGGACCACATATTGTACAGGTGTGACTGCATTTATTAATCTCTTATATTTATTATAAATAATATGAATACACTTGTAATACACAGATTCCTCAAGGACAAGTTGATTTACTACCTGCCAATTTCTTTGTCAACAATTTATTATCTGTGGTTGCTCTTCACGAAGAATCGGAAAACAGAAAACTTGAGTGTGATATCTGTGACAGTGGAGACCCACCTGCTAACAGATGTACAACTTGCTCCTATTTTCTATGTGCGTTTTGCACTCAAGCTCATCAACGAGCACGAAACACCAGGTCACACAATCTGGTCTCTGTAGAAGGGTCTGCAGCTGTAACAAAGTCAGCGGTTTGTAAAGAACATGATGGAGAAGTGATAAAACTGTTTTGTAATACATGTGAGGAAGCTATCTGTAGAGACTGCACCATCGTGGAGCATCGTGATCACAAGTATACATTCGTGAAGGATGCATTCTCAAAGGGCAAAGAAAGCTTGCTGAAGGCTCTGGCTGATACAAAGGAAAAAGCAGATGTTCTTGAAAAGGCTGTGAAAGGTGTTTTGGAGATGAAGAGAAGTGTACACTCTTGTGCCAATCAGACCAAACAAGAAGTTGTTGAGTGTTGTGATGAACTGACAGATTGCATTGCTGCTCGCAAAACATATCTGGTTGATAGAGTAGAAGAATTCAAAAAAGCAAAATTGAAATCTCTGGATGTTCAGCAGGAACAGCTAGAAAAAGCTCTAGCAAGTGTACAGAGCAGTGTGCAATTCACTGAAAAAGCAGTTGAAAACGGCAGTGAGGTGGAGATCCTAAACACACGTAAGCAAATATTTAGTCAATTACAAGATTTAAAATTGGCCAAATGGCAGCTGGAACCATGTGTTAATGAATCTCTAAGCTTTACAGGTAATGGCCATTTGAAGGAGGACATTTCAACCTTTGGTATTGTTAGTGACGTGGTAACTGATGCTGGCATGTCAACTGTAACCATGGAAAATGGACCAGAGGGTGTCATGTACAGTTCACTATGTGGACAGCCAGTAAAATTCCGTATCATTGCAAAGGAAAGCAATGGTAGGAGGCGGAAAGAAGGTGGAGATATCTTCAAAGCTTTTGTGAACACTGCTAATCCACTTAGGTCTCAAGTGAAACAGATTCCAGTGAAGGATTGTGGAAACGGTACCTACAGTTTCTGCCACACTCCAATGGAAACTGGCTTTTTTGAGTTGTCTGTGCAGCTTAAGGGCTCTCATATTCGAGAAAGCCCATTTCAGTGGTCCGTCAGGGATCAAAACAGTTTAGGTGAATTAATTCTATGTGCCAAAAAACTTACTGCTAAGTACAGCTACAAAGGAGATGGTGATTATGTTGATGATGATGATGATGTTAATGATGATGATGATGGTGAAAATGGTGATGATGATGGTGAAAATGGTGATGATGATGGTGATGATGATGGTGAAGATGGTGTGGATGATGATGATGAGGGTGATAATGACGATGAGGAGGAGGATGATGATGGCGGTGATGATGATGGTGAAGATGGTGATGATGATGATGGTGAGGGTGATTATGATGATGAGGAGGATGATGATGATGGTGGTGAAGATGATGATGATGGTGAAGATTGTTATGTTGATGGAGAAGATGAAGATGATGATGATGATGATGATGACTGGGAAGATGTTGATGATGATGGTGAAGATGTTGATGATGATGGTGAAGATGATGATGATGATGGTGAAGATTATTATGTTGAAGGAGATTATGATGAGTGATGGTGATGATAATGATTATACTGATAAATGGTTTGGACACAAAGATACTTTGAGTTACTGATGACAAATTATAAATACTTGTAGAAATATGGCCCTTATGTGTGTTTACATCGGACAAGAAAATTTCATCACTATTAAGCCTCATTTATGATTTCTTTGCACTTGCACTCTTTATGCATATGTTAATGAGTATTTTTTTTCAAAACAACTATTTTGACAATTCATCTATGTAAAACTTCCCAAAATAAAATTTTAGAGGGCTTGGTGTTGAAATTTGCTCATCTGACATAAACATGCAAAAGGGCTACATGCAGTCAAGTTCTTGACTATAATAATTATGCTTGGAGGTATTTTTAAAAATTATACCCAGAAAAGCTAAAAGTTAGCAAATTTTATGGTAAGGTATTCCATCCACAGTCACCATTATAAGTCAATTCCTTTTTTGCATTTCATGGCTTTTTTATGAATTTTAGGTCTCTGATGTTATGTGATGGGCAGGATAACCAAACCACCTCAGATGATTGGCTTACCATGGTAGAAAATTTGTGTTGCTGGGAAAAAACTGTTAAGATGTTTTGTGGTGTGGACTCCATTTATTAATTTAACATTACGTTTGTGGTTTTGCATCGACTGTTCTCCCCTCCCAGGGGTGGGGGGATACTCCCTATAATGGCCTATACGGGGGGGCCCCGCCCGAAAGGGGTACCTTTTTCAGGCTTCAGGTATATGAAAGGGTAGGGATTTTATTCCTTGAAGTATACGAAAGGGTAGGCAAATCCGTCATTTGTTACTGTGGAAGGGCCTAAAAGGGCTAAAAGATGTACTTAGTGCCTTTAAAGTTGAGAAAACGTTCTACTTCTGCGATTGATGCCTATTTAAATGACAGTGCATTTACAGCAGTTAAAAGGAATGCAAAGTTCTAAACGAGCGATGTGAAAGGGGTACCATTTGCAATAGATGGTATAGGAAAGGGGTGCCTTTTTGGTTAAAAATGGTATATAAAAGGGTAAGGGATTGGACCTTGGGGCGGAACCTCCCCGTAAGACAATTTGTTGAGGGAAAACGAATGCAATGAACACTGAAAACATATGCACTGAACACTTCCACAGATGTAGGTAGCAATAATTTTCATTGATTTTTAAAAGGCTTTTGCAAGCATAGGTCAACATTTAATAGCTCTTATCAAAGGTCAGCAATAACAAACAAAATGTGCAAATGGCTAACAAAAACAGTTTATGAGTGTAAAGAAATGAATATGTATATACATGGTTAAAAAAATCTATACAGGGTAGCTATAGTTTTTGTCTTTGGCTCTGTTTATATGTAGAAATGTTTTACTGGGTAGAAGGGTCACCTGCTTACGCAAGCTACCCTGGACGAGCAAACACCTGGTGAACCGTTTTTATGAGAAACAAAAGTTGGCTTGGCTAGGCAACCCTTCATTGATGGTAGGGTCGTCCTCTTAGCCAGGCCAACTTTCGGCCATATAAACACTTTGGTTTGCCCAGCCGGTTCGACTCAGAACATGAGGTGACGCAATCAGAGCATGCATGAGTGATGTTTTAGACAGTCAGAGCATGCACGAGCATTGTTGCCTCTGGCTAAGCTAAAAGGGTCAACTTTTTCTCACATAATTAAATGCTCGCTAAAGTTGACTCGGTTGGGAGGGTGTCCCTCATGTAAACAGGGCCTTAGATTTCAACAAGTCACACCATACTGTAAGTGAGAGTGTGACAGTAAAAGCTAAAAGCTTTTTTTGTAGAGTTTACTTGCTACTAAAGTAACGTGAGATTTCATTGCCAAATAATGAAACTGGTTGTTATTTAATAAGATGTGTTTATATGGTAAAAAGATAAAAAGGGTAGTAGTGCATGAATGTTAAAGTCAAAGAGCATTTCACAAGGACATAAGCAATATTTGAAAAAAGGACTTTTAGTGTACTGCCTTTTGTAAGTCACCCAAGATTGTAGATTGAATTCTAGACTAGTAGATTGTAACCAAGGCAACTTCCTTGCTTACCTCTTTTCTAAGTACAGGCGTCATCAATATTTATCCACTGGACCCTTGATAAACCGAAGGGCCAATGGACTGCAAAATATGTTTGCTATAACAAAGTTTATTAAATCGAAGTTCTTTTCCATATATTTTTATATTAGTGAGCGGTAAAGAACAATGGTTCATCATAGCACATACTTGTTATGTAGAAGTTCGTTATATTTTTTGTCCTGGTGAAATGATGTAAATTTCCTTTCTCTAAATAGCCCTGAATATTCTTAGTTACTGTTCCTGTGCATCAGTTATAAGACAATATTCATCAGTCCAGTAAAACTAATGCATTGCCAAAACTGAAGATCAGCTCGTAAAGCTGTAGCAACATGTACAAACGAAGCTTGATTTTATAAGGTGATGCAAATTCTATGTCGAGGTACTGGGGTATGTCGGTTAGATGTATCACTTAATCTCCAATTGCCCTAATTGTTCTATTTCAGATCAAACTGTTAGTTTTTCTACCTATGACAGTGAACCAAAACTCAATACCCCATAAACACTGACAATATGTTACAGTACATAGATTGTTTTAAATAAATGATCACAGGAACTTTGTTTGTGTTAACATTGGAATGGGGCTGGTATCCAATCCTAATTCGGTTTAATCCAGTGATGTTCTCTACCTGACTATTAGCGATCACTACTTAGTCTTTGCCGTCTTGAATCTGAGAGCACCTAGACAAGCTACCAATTATATCACAACACGAAGTTTCTGGAAGTACAATGCTGACCAATTTGCAAATGATATAGCGCATATCCCATGGGATACGATTGACTTGATGGATTCTGTAGATGAAAAGTTGGACGCGTTTAATGACTTATTCTCAACCTGTTTGAATGCTCATGCTCCTGTGAAAACAGTAAAGCTAAAACGCCAGCCGAATCCATTCATCACTGACCATATCAATGATCTCATGAAGACAAGGGACTCTACGCACAGGAAAGCGCGGAGGACTGGGTCGGTAAATGACTGGCAGGTTTTCAGAAGGTTTTCAGAGACCTGAAAAAGGAAGTAAAATCTGTTCTACGGAAGGCAGCAAAAGAATATTTCAATGAGCAAATCTGCGCAAATAAGAACAATACCGGCACAATTTGGAAAACTATTCGGCGCGCACCACCTGAGAAATCGAGTTGCACCACGCATTACACTAAGGATCCCAGTATTCTCGCTAATGAATTCAACCATTTTTTTATATCTGTTGGAGTAAATGCAGCTGGTAAATCCGCTGAGCTGGCCCGGTCACTTGGGCTCACTGATTACTTCCCCTCTTGTAGCAATAATTCACCGAAGTCTGGTGAAGGCTTGTTCGATCCTAAAAAACTGTGTCCTCTTCTGAAGCCCGCGAGGTTTTAACTGTTATACCGTCCAACAAGGCCCCCGGCTATGATAGAATTCCACTGTTCGTCATCAAGGACCGCCTCCCTTACATACTTCCGACTTAAACTAGACTAATCAACTCCTCGTTTGCCTGTTCTGAATTCCCTAGGCCTTGGAAAAAGTCTGTGATTGTACCCCACCTAAAAGACGGTGATCATGAGGTCCCCAATAACAACCGGCCGATCTCGTTGCTTCATGTCCTTTCTAAAGTGGCTGAGAGTTACTGATCATATCTTCAGGGCTGTAGACCAACAGCAATTGACAGCTATGGTCCTAAATTATAGACCTCAGCAAGGCCTTCGACGGTATTTGCCACAGTACACTTCTCAAACTACGCAGCCTAGGCACATCAAGTTAGGCTGTGAAATGGTTCAAGAGTTACCTCACGGACCGCAAGCAGTCTACTCGATTAGGCACCTCTCTATCTGATGAGCTTACGATAACACATGGCGTGCCTCAAGGCTCCATCTTAGGTTATTGTTCAACTTATATACAAATGATCTACCCTCCGCAGTAAAGTCCAGCTGTACCGACTCCTACGTTGATGATACTAAGATCTACTGCTCCTTTTCGGCTAAAAACATGAATTCTTGCCTTGTAAAAATGACGGAAGACCTATGTCTCATTTGTTGGTGGTGTTGCTCACACCAATTACTGATAAATCCAAGCAAAAGCAATTGTACGCGCATAGTTTAGGCTTTTAGTTTTGTACCAAGATTGTAATTAATTTAAGCTTTTTCTTCTTATCCCCTTCTCTTTAGCATTTGTAAATTAACTTCAGAATAGTCTTTTGGGAGAGTTAATAAAAATTATTGTATTGTATTGTATTGCTTCAAATTGCCTAAAAGATGAAATAATATTGCACACCCCCATTCCAGGCCAGGGAGTACAAAGTGCATCCTTTGGTGTCTTATTGATTTTTCTGTCACTCTAGCCTGGAGACATGACTTACAAAGCACCTTTTCTGAGTTGGGAGTTGCGTTGCGAACTGAAAGGTCACTTTACTGTAAGGTTTTGTTGAAAAGTTTATATAGTTAACAACAATGGTAATCTTGCTTACTTAGCCAAAATTTCGTCTTTTCGAATAGTCCATTTTTTTTACTAATTAATCTTTTTCCGGTCATTATCTTGTTGAAGTTTGTCTCTCACAGCCCTCACAAAACTTCCATCTTCTAAGTAAACATGTATGCAGGCTTATACCTGTGGCTGCCATCTTCATATTTCAATGCAGGATTAGGGTTAGCTAGTGTTGTGACTGCTACCCAGTGATGTATAGCCCTTCATCATAGAGGCTACAGTAAGGGACATCACATTCCCTGATAAATGATCAAACATCGGCATGATGCCAATCCAGAATTGGATTCACTCTCATGTAGTGAGGTCAGTCTGGACATAGTTAATTGAGTGGAATGGTTATGAAACCCGTCAGACTCCTTTGTTATATGTTTTTGTGGACCTGAAAGTGCACAACGTTCAAAAGAATTCCTATCATTTTGATTGTATTGACCAATAAAAACGTTGCATTAATTTATTCCGTAACAATTTGCCAACAGAAAACAAAGGATTGTGCACTTTCACGGTGCTTTGAACATAAACTGCAGCACTGTTGTTTTTATCACTGATGTTTGCCGCTTTTCACAACCAGTCGTCTATAATAACTATGGTCTGGATCAGTTGGAGAAAATGTACGAAGTGCATCAGAAAAGGGGTCATATGTCCTTGTGCCCAACAAAATCGCCTTGATTGAGGGTTGGGTTTCTTTCAATGTTTCCACAGCATCTTTAATGTTCCCATTCATAGTAATCAGATTCAAATTGTACCTCTTAGTAGTTTCAGAGACAAATGCTTCCGCTTGTGGAAGTGGAGAGTTGTAGCGGATGTAGAGAGCTCCGAGCTGTTGATCTGGTGAGACATGTTTACTCAGTGCAGCGCGTAGAATGAGTAACAGAACTGTACAGTCTTTGCCACAATTAAAGCTGATATCGAGCCTAGAAAAACGCTAGCCTAAGGGTACGTACAAAGGGCTTTTTTGGCTATCGTAAGCGTATAAATTACAAAATATTTACTGACAAGCGTATAAAAGCATGTGATTTTGTAAGCGTTTATGAAGCAAAGTAGGCAGACAAAAGACTTTAAGTAAGAAATTAATAGAAAAAGATGAGGCTTTTTAAGAATAGCAGGTTTATTTAGAGTAAGGAATGAAAAAAAAAATGCCTTTTTGTGAATATTCACTTGCCTCCCGTCTTCCCGTGACGTTTCGTGGTATAGTCGAACCTCCATGTGCGGCCACCTCTCTCCGCCGTGAGCGACCATCTCCCATAAGCAACTGCCAATCCAAAACACCAAAATTTTCCCAGTCAAAGAGTTAAAGTTGGAACCTCTAGTAAACAACCACCTCCTGTAAGCGACCGCGACCACTTTTTGGGCCTGACGGTTGATGATTTTACGGCATTTTTTTTAAACTTCTTGTAAGCGACTACTTGATGCATTCTCTGATCTCTTTGTTTGCTGTGTGCATTATGCTACTAAGAATATACGAAGAGCTTTAAACTGACAACATGGAACTACACATGGCGAAACTTAGACATTGCATGCAATAAATAATTATCTTACATAAAGTACATGTGCCTGAACTTCTTCTCGGAAGAGTTCCGCTGTGGTAAGATTCTTGTAAGCCACCACCTACCGTAAGCGACCACTCAGTCTTTGCATTTTGCGAGGTCACTTACGGGAGATTCGACTGTATTTGCTGTGAGGGAAGAACACAGTATGTGACTGATTCAGCTACAGGGTGTGTCAAGCTTGTAACTCCTTTGGATGGTACGGTTTAGTTCCTAACACATTTTGGGGAATTGTTCCGTAACTTTGGAATTCATTTGCAAGGCCAGACCGGTATAGATTCAGCACCCTTGTAGATGCGTAAACCCCAGGGTGTTACAAGGTTCCTTAAAAGATGTGTCTCAGATGTAAAATTGCAGATTGGCTCAGAAAGAATCACAAATGGACTAGAGGGCAAAGTAGTTCAACCAGACCATGCAATCTTGTGAGCTTATGTTGAAAAGCGTTACCCGTCTTCTAAAAACATCAGAGTTCATGAGCCCAGATGCTAGAAACGCGATCATGCTTCAGTCTCTGTTGACTTTGCTTGTAGGGAACCTTCACACAACCACGAAGATGAAACACCCAGCACCAAGTGTGCAAGACTACTGCCGAGATTTTGGAAAGACAATGAGAGAATCTATTAAGTGAATATCAAATACTTCACCTATCGGAAATCCTATATTAATTCTTTCCAGAGCTCGCAATTGATCTTTCTGCTACTGGAAAATTAAATCCGATTCCAGTAGTGCCCATGAACAAGACGAACCTTGCAAAGATGGAGGAACGGGCCAGTAAACATGGGCAGTGTGTTCGACAGCTTACTGTTAGGCAGCAAACAAACCAATTTTCAGCTGGTACATTGCCCATGTCAGCCTATGGGCTATAAACCTACCACAAGACTTGGCCTCTCAACAGCGATCTGGAAGAAGAAGTCATTGAAAGAGAAGAAGCAAATCGAAGGAAGGAGTCATGAATTAAGTAAGCTCGGACGTCAGCATACAAAGGCGCCACTTGCAGCCGCTCTCAGTCCATTTATGAGCGTACTGTACCCACCCAACACACGATGTGACTGATGTGTAAAGGTTGGCCACACCATGCACCGGGGTCTACGTCCCCTACAGTTTTCGAAAAGTGGTGTGGGTTCTTTTACGTCCCACAAGAACCAAATATTAAAGTGAAATTGCTGTGAGACGGGACCCAAGGTTTTTTGTCCTTATCCGAGAAGACTAGAAAGTCTATTAAACCGTTTGTAGATGTCATTACGAAGGCAGCACTCTCTTCTCAGTTATTTATTGACCCTGAGTGTTGGTCTGGCCGGGGTTCGAACGCGACCACCTGCATTTCAGACATTTAATAGTTCGAGTCGGTCAAGCGACTCGAAGTAATGTTCGAAATTTAGCCTAGAAAAACGCGAAATTAAAGGGCGCTTTCCATTGAACCAAAACTTTCGACAATTTGGAAACGGCGGTAAATGGTACAAAAATTTCCACGAAAAGTTTCCAGAAATCCCGGAAACTGTTGAATTTCCGAATGCGAACCATTCAACCGAAAGTAGTAGATTTTGCGGGGGCAAAGTTGAATGGAGAGAAAACGTCCGGGAAAAAAATTTTCCAAAAATTGTTCGGGTATTTTTTTTTTTGCCCATTTTTAGACCTGGTCTCGGTCTCTAAAATTCATTAGCGCGATGTACATTTCACTTAGAATATAACGTTGGATAATAGATTTGGTTATTATTCGCGAATATAGCTGAGTCACCTCTCTTCCCTAAATACAGCCTTTTTTGCATCGCGGAATACGGCGAATCTTTGCTGACGTCATTGTTTACATTTTTCCTCATTAGTATACGACTTAACTCATAGAAGCCGTGGCCGTACATATGATCTAAATGCAAAAGTTGAAAGAGCTGATTGAGTTTAGCTATTTGTGCAATTTTCAGCTCTTTGCAAACAATATTGAAGGAAATATCCACCATCAAAAACTGCAAAATTGCTGTGTGGCAAAAAAGTTAATGAGCCATACATTCTCTGTAAAATTTCGAGTTTTTAGAAGAGAATTTCTCCGAAACCATTAGGTGTATTAGGCTCAAATTTGTTTGTGAGACAATGAGCTGAAACTACTGTTTTATAAGTCTTTTATGCTAGTCCGCTATCCGTTTCTCTCAGTTTTACCTTTCTAAAGCTGTTTTAATAAACCCAGTCCGCAGTTCGCGTTTGGAGCTTAAGCAACGACGACGGTGAAGGCAACTAACGAGAACGGCAAAAAAGCAGTAGGTTTAGATTGGGAAAACAACAACTTTGCACGCGTGCATCACGCTTTTTTGTACATGTCTTTGCCGTCACTGCACGACCACAACGTGAAAGCTGCCTAATTTCACGTTGTGTCGAGGACGTGAATTTCTTTTTCTTTTCCTGAATTTTGATACAATAGGGCCATTTATACGAGGAAAAATAAGACGCGTCTTACATAAGACGCGCACTTTCCGTATAAACGGCACATTTCGTCTAAAATAAGACGCGGCTTAGCTAAGACGCGTCTTATTAGATAAGACATGCTCGTATAAATGGTACAGTTAATCAGTGAAAGGTTCCGGCAATTCTGCTTTTTTACAAAAAGATCAACTCTGCTACTTGAAAAAAGCAGAAAAATTAACTATCTGCATTTATTTTTCATAGAACAACATGCAAAATTGTTACCGTTTTTGTTAATGCTAGTCGATCAGGTGAAAAGTTACAAAAAGGTACCTTTTTAGAAAAAAAAGGCGGGTATTTTAAGCTTTCGGGTGGAAATATTTTAACGTCAATATTGTCCACTTTTCATTCATTTCTCACTTTACCAAACAAAACTTTAAAGCGCGAAAAAAGGTACCTTTTTTTCAGTTTGAAGCGGTCTCTTCAAAAGCGCGAAAAATGTACCTTTTTTGCGGTTACGAAACGTTCCTATCAAAAGAGCAAAAAAGGTACCTTTTTTGCGGTTGAAAGCGATGTTCTCATAAGTGCGAAAAAGGTACCTTTAAAAATAAATGACGTTTCAATTAAAATCCTACTGATTGACAGATGTCAAGGAACCGTTGGCGCCCCTAACGAACGATACACAGACGTTTTTAGGGGACTCTATGTCCCGTTTCTACAATCGAATTTCGCAGTCCCGAATCTAATTAAAACGAGCAAAACCCATCCTAGACTGCCCTAGAAACACCTGTATTGGAGGCTATTCCTCAGTGGCCCCGGCTATTTAACATAGATGGCTCGGACGCGCAATATTATAATGATTGCGTCCTGCATTATTGGCATATTTTCCGAGCTACGTGCGTGGACGAGGGTCTACTATGGGGAATCATCGGAATAAAAAAAAATAGCTGGCTCCTTTTAGCCGATCAAAATTGAGAAACTAGACTGAAGAGATCCGGAAATACTGGCTACCATCCAAATGGATGAAATAGCTACTAGGTCTTTCAAACTAGATGCATGTGGAGGACCTAAGCAAGCCTATTTTTAAGCCTGGAGCGACGACTTGAAAAAAGTCCTATACGAAAAGTCGAACCATTTTAATCTGCGAAAAAAAATATATCAGATTCTACGTCGATCTACGACAAACAGCAGAAAAGTGTTTTTTTTCTTTTAAGTCTAAACTGAGCGGGTTATCATAATAACTGTTTTGTTTCATTGGTGCCTTTTTTCACTTCTGAACGACGGAATCCACTTCGTATTCGTTCAGTCGTCTTATCCCATATTTAGCACAAAACAATCGCACGTTTCTTTTTGAAAAGCCTCTTGTTACTTCTGGAAAGTTTTGTCTGAGAATTTCACTGACATGTTTGTACGTTTTATTGTCTTCAATGAGATTCCTTATTAAAGTAACATTGCTTTCCATATATTCCGCCATATTTGTCTCTTGACTAGTGGGTCAGGCAATTCAAGCAAAACAAATGGCGCCAAACGGTTGACATCTGTCAATCAGTAGGATTTGAAACGGCTTTCAAATATAACTTGAAAACGCCATTTATTTTTAAAGGTTCCTTTTTCGCACTTACGAGAACATCGCTTCCAACAGCAAAAAAGGTACCTTTTTTGCTCTTTTGATAGGAACGTTTCGTAACCGCAAAAAAGGTACCTTTTTCGCGCTTTTGAAGAGATCGCTTCACACTGGAAAAAAGGTACCTTTTTCGCGCTTTAAAGTTTTGTTTGGTAAAGTGAGAAATGGATGAAAAGCGGACAATATTGACGTTAAAATATTTCCACCCGAAAGCTTAAAATACCCGCCTTTTTTTTCTAAAAAGGTACCTTTTTTTAACTTTTCACCTGATCGACTAGCATTAACAAAAAAGGTAACAATTTTGCATGTTGTTCTATAAAAAATAAATGCAGAAAGTTAATTTTTCTGCTCTTTTCAAGTAGCAGAGTTGATCTTTTTGTAAAAAAGCAGAATTGCCGGAACCTTTCACTGATTACAGTTCGCGTCTTATTTAAGACGCGTCTTATGTAAGACTTGTCTTATTTTTCCTCGTATAAATGGCCCTAATCTTTTAGAATTTATCTCCAGAATAATTGGCCAACATTTGACGAATTGAACGAGTTGGAATAAGCACGACAGACTTTGAAGCAGCGCGAATTAATTTTTGAAGTGATGTTTTCGTAACCGTCGCCGTAGGCCTAGATACAAATATCGGGATATTTTTGGGGTTATTTGGAAGATTTTGAGATATTTAGAAAATCTCATGATATTTACGAAAAAAATGTGATATTTAGAATTTTGTTGCGAAAAAAGTACTGAAATCATGTTTTTCTAGGAAGCTACTTCAAGGCATTTCAGTGACAGAAATTCAAACAAATCTCCACATATGGACCTGTTGTAATCAGATTCAGCAATATTCTCCATTTTAGACTGCAAAACAGTCGGTTTTTTTCTCAAAATCAGAAAAGAAATAGGTAAAGCTTGGCGTAAGAGTCTTACGCGCGCGAAGCGCGCGAGCCTCACACGCCCGTTACTTGACAGCTTGGTGACAACTTGTATCGCAATTTAGCCAATGGGAATTGCCCGTGGCTGGGAGAAGCGGGTAATTCGAACGAATATAACGTATGCAAAACGGACAGTCCGTATTTTTAGCGTCTCTCCCCAGTCTCGCTCTCTGTTTTCAGCCTCGTTTGACTGCTCGCGCGTACTTGAATACGCAAAAATACGGACTGTTTTGCAGTCTATCTCCATTCATAATATATGCAATGTCGCTAATGTTCAACAAAATGGCTGAAAGTTGTGTTGCCATTGTAGATGACCTGCTATTTTTGTGTTTTTACTGTAATATATATGAAATGAAGCCAGATATTTTTTAGATATTCAGAACATTTTCGAGATATTTTAATAGAAATAAAGTTCGAGATATTTAGAATTAAAAAATTGGGAATTTCCGGAAACATATTTAGGCGATTTTTCGTGATATTTGTATATAGGCCTTCGTCGCCTTTGTTGCTGCTTAAGCTCCCAATCTCGTACCCACACGCGACGATTTTTAGTGCAACACATCGTTGCAATATTGGACCAATGCTGCAACCATTCGAAACAATGTGGCAACAATGGTGCAACGCTGTGTTGCGCTAAAAATCGTCGTTGCGATTTGTCTCGAGTCATGTAACATCACCTTTAAGGTGATGTTACACGGAACGATTCGCAACGACGATTTTTAGCGCAACACAGCGTTGCAATATTGGAGAGCAATGTTGCAACCATTCGAAACAATGTGGCAACGATGGTGCAACGCTGTGTTGCGCTAAAAATCGTCGTTGCGAATCGTCTCGTGTATTTTAAACATCACGTTTAGACCGTCGATCTAACCACGTGACCATTTTTCCGGGAAGTGGGAACCACCGGCGAGTGACTTCAGTGTGACTTCAAAGAAGCTTCGAATGTTGATCGGTTGGTAGTGATCAGTGATTCATCATTTTATTACAGCTTTACCTAGCTTTGCAGTCGTTTTAAACTCAAGGAAGCGAAAAAACGTCAGCTCATTTTGCAAAAAATGGCAAAAGCGGCATCTTTGGCGGACAGCTTAGGGAAGCATTTGGAATGTGCAGTGTGTCTTGAGCAGTACAAGGAACCTAAAGTTCTGCCCTGTCTTCACACTTTTTGCAAAAGGTGTCTACAAGGACTTTTGACTCGACAGGGAGCAAAGTGCAAGATAAACTGTCCAACATGCCGCTCAAGCGCTGAGGTTAGTTTATTTGAAACAAAGCTTCTGCTGTTTTCAAATTTCTACCGATGTTGGTGACGCAAAATTGTTTTTAATAAGCTTATGTTCAAGTCGAAAGAATTACGAGCAAAACAAGTAAAATGCATTTTTGCTTCTCGGATTGGAGGCAAAGTTTGCATCCACAACTAATGTTTTGAGTTTTACGTACAGTTCTAGAAACAAAGTTTTCTTGCCATTGTTTCCGTCAGGGTTTCCGTTTAGCTGGGCTGCAACACAGTTCTTTGTTCACTCTCCCGTGTAATGTCTAAGAAAAGATCTTTTATTGTTTCACTCACACCTCGAAACCATACACTTAGGGCGGCTCAACACAGTTTTTTTTATCCTTTTTACTTTGCATGTGAGAATCTTTATCATGAGATTATATGCAACTAATAAGCTTTTGAAGAAAAAGTGCGAGGACATGCTAATAAAATACCAAAAGTCATATCGTGCGCGTGATCACAGCGCGCTACTCAGCACAGAAATATGAAATCCTTTTCATATTACACTTCAGTCATTGAAAGCCTTAGCCTTGACCATAGTTAATTGAGTGGAATGATTATGAAACCCGTCAGACTCCTTTGTTATATGTTTTTGTGGACCTGAAAGTGCACAACGTTCAAAAGAATTCCTATCATTTTGATTGTATTGACCAATAAAAACGTTGCATTAACTTATTCCGTAACAATTTGCCAACAGAAAACAAAGGATTGTGCACTTTCACGGTGCTTTGAACATAAACTGCAGCACTGTTGTTCTTATCATTGATGTTTCCGCTTTTCATAACCAGTCTCCTCTAATAACTATGCCTTGACACAATCAAGTTTCTCATGAAAGCTACTTTTCCTAAAATTTAAAAAAACTGTTACACTTTGGTTAAGTTTTTCTAAGCAATGAACGTTACTAATAATATTGCAAGCTGTGTGCAAAATCATAAAGAAATTTAATGACTCAGGCTCAAGCACATTACCATGGTAACAACCAAAATCTTGCTTTTAACCTTAACCTCAGTTCATGTCTTATAAATGTATTTTGTCTGTGCCAAATGTAAAAACATTTATACCTGTGACAAGTGTTAAATAAAGCCTCAATGAATGGTAACAATCCAGAACCTTTCACCTGCCTACCTCTACTCGCACAAGATATTAATAGCTGAAGGCATTAGGCATTTGTTAGAGTAGTTTTTGAAATCCACATTCTTATGATTTATTGTGTGCAGATTCCTCAAGGAAAAATTGATTTGCTACCAGCCAATTTCTTTGTCAACAACTTATTATCTGTGGTTGCTCTTCACGAAGATTCCGGGGGTTCCTCTCTTGAATGTGATAACTGTGAAAGTGGCGATGCACCAGTCAATAGATGTACAACTTGCTCACATTTCCTTTGTGAGTTTTGCACTATATCTCATCAACGAGGGCGTAACACCAGCTCTCACAGTTTGATGACCCTGGAAGAAGCAAAAAAGATGGGATCAGCAGCTGTAACAAAGCCAGCAATATGCAAAGAACATGATGGAGAGGTGATAAAATTGTTTTGTGAGACATGTGAGGAAGCTATTTGTAGAGACTGCACCATCGTCGAGCATCGTGATCACAAGTACACTTTTGTGAAGGATGCCTTTGCAAAGGGCAAGGAAAGCCTGCTTAAAATTCTGTCCGACACAGAAACAAAAGCAACTGCTCTCAAGGAGGCCATAGATGGTGTCTTGGAAATGAAGGGAAATGTAGATTCTTATGCAGAAGAGACTGTACAAGAAGTTGATAAGTGTTTTAAGAATCTGACAGTTTGCCTTAATAATCGTCGTGGCCAGCTGATCTCAGAAATTAGAAAATTTAATAAGCAAAAACTTAAATCTTTAGAAAGTCAGCAAGAAAAACTGGAGACAGCTTTTGCAAAGGTACAAAGCAGCTTGGATTTCACCAAAAAGGCACTTGAAAATGGGAGTGAGGTTGAGATCTTGAACATGCAAAGGCATGTTTCCAGTCGATTGCAGGATTTGAACTCTACCAAGTGGCAACTGGAGCCATGTGTTAATGAAGGCATCAAATTTACAGATAACAAGCAATTGGAACATCATATTAACACATTTGGAACTATTACTGACAAGGCTTCTTTACCTTGTGCTTTTTTGGCAACAGTAACAATGGAAAATGGAGAGGAAGGTGTGATGTACAATACACTGTCTGGACAGCCAGTGAACTTTATTATCAATGCAAAGGAACACACTGGGAGAAGGCAAATGGTAACAAGTGATGTCTTTAACGTGTTAATAACCCCTGTTAACTCACATTCCGGGAACACACCTGTGAATCAGAATGTACAAGACTGTGGAAATGGTACATACAGTTTTTGCCATACTCCAACCCAAGCAGGCCATTACAAGCTCTCTGTGCAGCTGAGGAATGGTCATGTCAAGGGAAGTCCATTCACATGGATTGTTGAGAAGTGGACTCTCATGACATTTTCTCCAGAGAGCAGTGAAGGTCAATTAGAATTACTTGACGAAAATATGACAGCTCAGTACAAACAGGGACCCCCCAGAGGGAAGACTCGTCACCCTTTATACTTTCGCAATTCTTACTTTGACGGAGGATCCTTCAGCTATGCTGTGGGTTATGTTGGTTTTAGTAGTGGGAAACATTTCTGGAAGTTTCAGATTCATGGGGAGCTCTCGTTTGGCGTCATCACTAGTAGAGGAAGCAGTCATAGGAAAATGTTGCTCACACAAAATAGCAAGTGGCTGTGGAATTCTAGAAAGAAGCAACATCCAATGTCATATTATGGTGGCGACATTGTTGAACTCTACTTAGACTGTGAGAATGAGACATTGAAGATGCACAATCCACGTACTGGACAATCAGATGCTTGGGATGGAGTTAAAGGAGAAGTCTCACCTTTGTTTCAGATGGCCAAAAATGGAGAAAGGGTTTCTTTGAAGATACAAAATGTACAGCAAACAAGTGAAGCATGGGCTACCAGAAGAGACAGAAATATGTATATGAACCAAATGATGTTTCAAAAACACCACTAATAATTTATTGCTGGATCCTTGGCAAGTGTTGGGTTCATTTCTTTATTTAGTTCTTTCTTCCTTTACAAGAAAGGTCAATCACTAACAAAATGTAGTGTTCTGGGTCCGGTTCCTCGAAAGATATTTAAGTTTAACCCAGGATTAAGCCAAATTTCAAGCACCATTTTCTTGTCTAAGAACGTGCAACTCGAGGTTAAAAAATACTGTAGGGCCTTTACTACAAGATGGAGTAATGGTAACACAAAATGCTATCCTAGGCAATGGAAAGGAATGTAAAATACAAAAACAAAACAAAATTTTTATCCTGGGTTACTAATTGGCCTTTCAGGAACCGGGCCCAGTATTGTAACTTTCTCTTCCTTTAATTTACTTGAATGCTTACTAGAAGTTTCTCACACTATCAACTAATAAAGCTCATTCAGAAATTGACCTTTAATGTTCATGAAACTGTAGGCTTGTTCATGTAAACTGTTCATGTGAACTGCTTTAACCTGAATTATTACTACGTATATTTCTATATGAAAGTCTGAGTGAAATATAATAAACCAAAATTAAGAATCAATTTTGGCTGAGGCCTTTCAATGTTACATTTCTATTTACAACAGCCTACTTTAGCCATAATGTTTACATTTTAATAGAAATGGTATTTGAAGTCATCTAATTGTTTGACTAAAGGTGTTACTTGCCCTTTAAAAATACTATTTATGTAAGCTTGTGTAAAAGCAGTCTTGATCACTGTGAACACAGAGCAATCTGTTTTCACGATGAAAATCTACTGTGGGGTAGTCCATTTGGATTTAAAGTACAAACAATATTGGCAGAGTCTTCTTCAAATAACATACCAGGTAGGTGTTTTATGGCATCAGTTTTAACATTTGACAAACATAGAAAAAAGCAAACATTTGTGAGACTGAGTCATTTGGTCCATTATCAGTAGTTAAAACGTTGTGCTTAACCCCAAACCCTAACCCGAAATGATTTGTAAACTAAGACTATTTCTTGAAAAGATATAATAATATAAAATAATTTTGTACCAGTGTAAAAATAATTGTACCAGTACAAAGACAATTTGTACTATGAGCAAATTTGAACTACAACATGTACGTGTAATGAAAAGATGAAGGGGCAAATTCCCCTGAGAACTCTATTTGTTGCCATGTATGTCAATTTGGCTGCATGAAGGGACGGACATTTTTGGATACATATTTTACACACATTGATGAAGTAAAATGGACAAAAAAAGTTTGTGTCGTATACACTTAAATGAGGTTTAACTATAATTTTGTAGGATGTAATTTGTTACAGAGGTCAGTTGTAAGTGCAGTTACACGTAAGTAGGGTTTAATTCATTAGTTCCATCTTAAGTAAAAAAACCAACCTAGATTTTAAACGTTCATATTTACAACAATCTAATAGTGTCACAGTATGTTTATGATGGGAGGAAACCAACAGTGACAGTGCCAGTGCCATTAATTGTTTAGTATTCTGGTTTACTCCTGGCCCCATTTGTTCAAAAGGTGGATAGCACTATCCACCACATAAATCACTACGGCAGTTGGTTTCCCTAATACTTATCCACTGGATAGTGATTTATCCGATGGATAGCGCTATCCAGCTTTTGAACAACTGCAACGGGCCAGATGTTTAAAGCTGTCTGTTGGCTTGGAGTAATAAATTATCATTTACAGGTTAAATGTCCTGTATTAAATTACTTGGGGTCTACATCTGCCAGAGTTTGGGAATACTGGTGCTTCCCTTAGTGTTATAATGGAGACAATGCTCCAAATTTACACCGTAAAACGCATAAAAGCATAAAGTCTACAAAACAAATATTCTTGTTTTACCCCCTCTGAACTTCTTTGCCAAAAGTACTAGTAAATTTGTAGCACTGATGTTAGTCCCTACCAGCCCTCTCCAGATGACCATCTTCCAACATGTATGCAGGCTTATATCTGTTGCTGCCGTCTTCATATTTCAATGCTGGATTGGGATTAGTATTATGGCTGCTACCTAACGATGTATACCCCTTGTCATAGAGGCTACAATAAGGGACATCACATTCCCTGATAAAAGACCAAACATCGGCATGATGCCAATCCAGAATTGGATTCACTCTCATGTAGTGAGGCCAGTCTGGATCAGTTGGAGAAAATGTACGAAGTGCATCAGAAAAGGGGTCATGTCTTCTTGTGCCCAACAAAATTGCTTTGATTGAGGGTTGAGTCTCTTTCAATGTTTTCAGAGCATCCTTAATGTTGCCATTCATAGTAATTAGATTCAAATTGTACCTCTTAGTAGTTTCGGAGATAAATTCTTCTGCTTGTGGAAATGGTGAGTCGTAACGAATGTAGAGAGCTCTGAGCTGTTGATCTGGAGAGACAAGTTTATTCAGTGCAGCTTGTAGAATGAGTAACAGAACTGTACAGTCTTTGCCGCCATTAAAGCTGATACAAAGCTCATCCATGGAGTAAAGTTGGAGGGTTTGCTGTATTATGGCCCAAGCTCCTTTGACGCAGGCACTAGTGTTGGATTCATCCAATGGATCTAGCAAGTTGTAAACTCTTTCAGCATTTTCCGACAGTTTACAATCCTCTGGTTGACTCAGTGCAGCTACAACAAAATTAAGCAAAATTTTAATACCAATATCTTACACCTATTTCAAGATTGCATTCTGTCAGAGAACATGATGTCAGTATCTAATTCAGATCTTCAATCCAGCCACACAAAATAAGAAGGGGTCCAGGCCTCCAAAAAAATTTTTTCTTAGCCCTGTGAGCTTCAGTTCAGCTCAAAAATAAGGTGGATTCCAGAGCCCCATGGAGCCCACTTCTTGAAAGTCTGAGTAACTTTTCGAGCCCGAAATCAACATACTCAAATTAAAATTTACAGAATAAAAGAACGGGTCCAACAATAGGTAACAAACCAGTGCATTTTGTTTTGTTAATTGACAGTTGTGTCATGTTATCTCAGTGAAACTATTGAAACCTTAAATGTAGCCAACAGCATTCTGGGCCTTAAATTATTTGGACATTTGAGAGATGCACCCCTGCGCTGGTCCCTTAGATCTGCCACTGGATGTGCATGCAGTCAGGAGCCCATAGCCCGGAGGGAGCAACTCCTATACTAGGCCTATGTCACAGCTTTTTTACGGACCAGTGTATTTTTAGACACATTTTAGGACACTTTTTCCTGCGAAAATAGAATCTCCACCATGTCTATGAATGCATTCAAAGTATAAGATATCAAAAAGAAAACTAAACATCATTAAAAGGCAAAAAATATTATTTTTAGGTCTGTAGGTCTCGCTGACTGGTTTGTGGTATTCTAAAGATATTCAAAATTTGTGCCAATACCATTCTAAAAATAAACTGGTCCGTGACAATACCGCGACAAAAGCGCATGGAAGTTGCCCACTCCAGGTTATGGGCTCCTGATACAGTATAGTATATCAGTCATGTCCCAGTCAAATTATGACATTTTATAGTCACCTTTCGAAAAAACTGTGTCAGTGCTGTCAACTCTCCCAGATGATCCGGGAGCCCCAGTTTTTGGACCGTATTTATTACAGTATGAAATCTTCCAGATAATCGCTTAAGTTGACCATTTCTTCAGTAGACTGGACTTTCAGACATTTATTTTCAACATTAGCATCAAACGTTTCCTTATAAACTCCAGTGTGCCACTGTAATATGATACAGTCAACTCCTGATAATTCGAACCTTCAAGGACACAGAAAAAAGTTTGAGTTATCGAGAGTTCGAGTTATTGAGGGTTAACTTTATATGGAAAAAGGTGCGAAGGGAAATGAAAATTGCTTTGAGTTAGCGGGAGTTTCGAGTTATAGAGGGTTCGAATTACTGGGAGTCGACTGTAATGTGACTGGTGGGAAGGAAACCAATCAGGTCAAATGTTACAATGCCAACAACATCTTTTTGTGCCGTTCTGGGTGTAATTGGAAATTTGTGACAATCGGAGTCGATGATTATTTTTTGCACAAATGACATCATGTGCTGTGCATTATGACGTCATCTGTCATCTCTTTCCCATCAATTCTCCATATTAAGAAGTGGGGGGTTGACAGCCCTGTGTGTATATTCAGTCCTTACCATCTGGAACTGCAACATCACAATCATTTCCCTCTGTCTTCACAACAATGCTCTTAGGTAACCTCTCCAGAAGGCAGTGCCATGCCTCTTGCAGAAGGTTTAAATTATCTGACTCCACAGTCAGCTTCACTTTGAAGTCTTTATTGCAGAAATCGGGATAAGACCCCAAGTGTACCTTTCCTTTGTATTTCTCATCTATCTCATTTAGAATAGAGGCAATAGAGGTTTCCTCTGCTGAAAGGTAGATCTTTCGGAGGAAAAAACGCTTCTTTGGGTTGGAAGTCAAAAGATGGTTTTCAAGAACACCAAACTCCTGTTCCAAAAACTGTGGAACTCCTGGAAAGATGTAGACGTTATGCACAGAAATAAGAGGAAATTTGCTGGGTTTTCCCCATCGATCTTTTCCATAACTTAATTTCAAATCTCTGGGCACCCTAGCCATCTTGTGGTGAGAGGAGCTGAGCTTGATCTTGTGTTGGGAATCAACGTCGAATTTACCGGAAATTAACTTCAATAGTTCTTCGTTCACAACCAGATCTTGCTTCAAAGCTTTGGCTATGCCTGCCATAGTGACATCATCGTGAGTTGGACCAATTCCTCCCGTGGTAATAACAAAGGAAAAGAGAGAAGAAAAGATTCGCACCTCATCGGCAATTTCATCTACATCGTCTGAAATGACAGAAACTTTCCCTACTTTGATTCCCAAGGACCAAAGCTTTTTCAAGAGAAAGTGGGAATTCGTGTCTTTTGTATGACCTTTTAAGATTTCATCCCCAATGATTATGATTCCAGCCGTACACTTCTGTGTATTTTCTGAGATGCCGTCCGCCATGTTGTTGAAAGCCGGCTTGATCGATTTCTGATCGATCAAAACTGTATGGTCACGTGACTATA